GTTGTTTGTTTATTCTGCAAGTTGAATTCAATTCTTTTCTTTTTTTTTTTTTCTCTCAAAGTACTGGTAAACAGTATCAAATGCTGATAAGTGGATAGGAATATAGCTCTTAATACTGATAAATATGAAAACAGAACTGATAAACATAAACACAGATTGTATATATAGCCATACTTTACTGATTGAGAATTCTACTGGAAAACTTTTTTAAAAATACTTTTTGTTATCTGGGTTGCATAAACTGTTAAGAAATAGCCAGGCACAGTGGCGCAGGCCTGTAATCCCAGCGGCTCAGGAGGCTAAGAAAAGAGGATCACGAGTTCAAAGCCAGCCTCAGCAAAAGCAAGGCGCTAAGCAACAAAATACAAAATAGGGCGGGGGAAGTGGCTCAGTGGCCTAGTGCCCTGGGTTCAGTCCCCAGTATCCCCTCCCTGAAAAAAAATCATAACAACTCTGTATCCTTTCTAACAAGGAGTTCTTTTCATTTCTTGCTTAGACCTCCTGGGCTGTGTGCTTGGTGTCCACAGGGACAAGTGGCCTCCTGGCATGCCCTCCCTGGCCGGCACCTCCCTGGACTTGCTGTGGGCTGATGCGGTGCCCTGACTGCTTCTCATGTGACTAGAAACGCCAAACAGCTCTGCCCTGTCCATGCTGTGGTTTCAGGGCCCAGAAACTTGGGATCTGGGTTAAAGGACCTGAGGTTCTCTTGAGCCAGGAGCCGAGGTTCACTTGGGGGAGCACCAGCCCGATCTCTCCCTGCACCCCTTTGCTCTGTCCTCCCAAGCTGTCCCTGGAACTTTCCCTTTAAATTGTTTTCATGACAAAATAAACACGCCTGTGCCTCGCCCAGAGCTCTGCACCACCAGTGCCACTCAAGGAGCTGTGTCCGGCTGTTGGTGGAACTGGAGCTTCTGTGAGCAGCTGGACATGGGGGCTGTGGGGAGGGACTGCAGACCTGCAGGTAGTCATGACCACGGGCTTGCACAGATGGGGCACTGTTGGGAGACCAACAGCACAGCGGCCCGGGCGTCTCAGGTGGTGTGTGCAGCTCCCGAGTCTCCAGGATTGGTCCCTGCGCGCACCATCAGGCTGAGGCCTCCAGCACAGCCAGGCAGGGCCGGGCGGACCTCACCACCACAGGGCCCTCGGGAGGAGGAGGTCAGCCTGGAGGGAGCGTGAGCTGGGCTCAGACTAGTGCTGCAGCCAGGCCTCCACATGGCTCACAACAGTCACACCGGCATGCACACATGTGCAAGCACACACGTGTGCCATGGGTGTGCATGCACATAGGTGCTCGCATGCACCCAAATACATAGGTGCGCTCACACATGTGCACACACTTCAGCCAAGGAGCAAAGTCTCGCTCTGTCTGTCTACCTCAGCCCCTGCACACTAGCCAGCTGCCCGGCTGTCCCCAGGCAAGGGGACAGTGGCTCTCAAGAAAAGACCTGCTCAGGCAGGCTGGGGACCCTCGGGCTCCGTCCCTCCTCTGCAGGGGGGTCATGTCCCCACAGGACTCACCCTTCAGGAACCAACTCTGTCAGCAGATTCCCCAGGACCCCCACCCCAAACTTGGTCCAAGCCCCTCTTCCTGTCTAGTGCACGGTCGGCCGTCCTGCAGCTCCAGCCCCGTGTCTGGACCCCCCCTCTCCTGGGCTCACCCAGCCCACCAGCACCTTTGGCTCAGCCTCAGGGTGCACCCGGAATCCCACCATCCTGGAGCCTCCTCAGTGGCCTGCAGTGTAGACCTGCGTCTGTTCTCTGAGTGGCAGCCAGGAGGACCCTGTGGGAAAGCGGATCAGAGGACGTGAAGGCCTCGCTGCGCCCCCAGTCCTGCCAGAGCTCGGGATCGAAGCTGTCACCTTCACAGCGGCCAGTGAGGCCTAGCTGCAGGGATCCTCTCTTCCCGCCCTGGTCCCTGGGCTCCGGCCACAGTGTCCCCTTGGCACTCACTGTTCCCATTCCCTAGAGTGCTCTTCCCAGGGATGGTCTCATGACTTCTTCCCGGGCCTCCTTCAAGACCATCCCCGGGACTTCCTGACCACATGCTTCCTGATAGGTGACAGTCAGGGCGGGAAGATTGTGGGCATGCAGGCTCCTGTTTGACCATGGGTGGGACCTCCCGCTAATGCTGACCTCAGGAAGGTGCCAGGCCCAGCATAAGCAAGAACCCAGGACTGCCAGAGTGGACGTGAGGGAGGGTGGAGGTGGCCACCTGCCCTCAGCCATGCACCACAACCCACGGGACAGGGACTGTCCCCTGCCACTTCCAACAGAGCCCCTCCCCTGATCTACTGCCCTATGCTGCGAAGGCCGCGAGAGGACAGCTGCTCCCCCTGTGGACAGCCACAGAAGCATGGCTCCATGAGACTGGAGATGGGGACAGCAGGAGGGGCAATACCACAAGGCAGGAGGCAGAGGGGCCCTGGACAGCTGCCTGAAGTGGGGGCACTGCAGCTGGGCTGGGTGGGCTGCTGGTCGCAGCAGCCGGCGGTAGAGGCAGGAAGGCCTCTGGCTCCCCTCGGCCTTCCCTTGGGCCCTCCTCCCTTGCCCTAGCCCCATGCGGCTCCCGTGACCTCAGGCCAAGACTGATCAGGGGTTCAGCTCACTGGTTTGTATTCTGGTGTAAAAGCTCTAGAAGCTTCAACCATCCCATGTGGTCTCGTTGTCTTGTTGGCATCTATGAGGGCAGAGGTGTGTTGCTGACTCAGCAGGAAAGCTGCCCTGGAGCGCGGAGGAGAGGGACCTACCTGGGAGTCCACGTCCTGGAGCGCTGGGGGGCGGGAGGGGCTCTGAAGACTAAGGAGCAGATGGAGAAGGCGCAGGAGCTGCTCCGAGCCGATGGACACCTGGGGGTCGCGGGGTCCCCCCCCCCTGCAGCCCTGTCCATCTGTGCAGACGCAGCCCAGGCACCAGCTCACCTGGGGAAGCTGTCGTCTAGCAGCGCCACAGCAGGCCTGTCTGCAGCAGGGAGACGGACCCTGGCCCATTCTCCCCAGAACCTGATGTCTGACACTGCCCTCGGCACGCCTCCTCGGGCCTGTTACAAGGTGGTCGGTCCCCCACCAGGGAGCCTGGGCTCAGCGCCCACAGGATGGGCCAGTTACCCTGTAAGCCACAGCCGCTCTTCGCGGCAGTGAGAAGCCCTCAGGAGCGCTGCTGGACAGGGCTGCTGGTGCCAAGCTCGGGGCTCGTCTGGCTGCAGCTTGGACATGGGCCAGCCCCGCTCCAGCTTCTGGGGCAGAGGAGAAGGAAAGCCATCTTGCTCCCACCACCAGCCACCCCGGGCGTTTCCCTGGGATGGGCCTGTCCAGCCACTGGGACCAGGAGCTACAATGCAGGGCCACAGGCACAGGGCCTGGGACCAGGGCTCTGCCTGTTCTCAGGGCTCCTGCTACCCCCTCCCACCTCAGAAGGAACCCTCCAAGGACAGCATTCCCGTTCTATTTCCATCCCTGCTGCCGTCCATGGCCACCTACTCCCACCCCGGTGGGGGGAGTGACCCTGGAGCACCACACCAGGGCTTGTCTCCAAAGACGCTGTCTCTGGACTCATCTGGGAAAAGACCAGCTGCCACCCCTCCCTGCCTGGCCCAGGTCAGTGTCCAGGGAGTGGGCTACGAGGCTTCACTGCCCTGAGTCTGAGTGGAACTGTCCACGGACTTGCCATCTGTCCTCCACACCACCCAGGCCCTGCTGCCATGATGCCCAGCTAAGGGCAGAGGACAGAGGAAGGTGGGTCAACCAGCAAGGGCAGAGCCAGGGCCCACCTTCCAGTGGGTTGCAGAGCCACGTGCACACATTGTCTGTGACTATTCTGGGTCACAAGGAGCCACACTTTAGTGGGCTAAAGTAGCGTTCAACTGCTGTCTCAGAGCTCACGGGTCCTAAGCCCAGGCACAGCTCAGTGGTGTCTCTGTCCGGGGTCTCATGGACTGTGACCCAGTCTTGGGAGTATATGTCCTCACATAGGAAGACTCAGGAATGCAAGCCCCTAGGTGGCCAGCAGGACTCACTGCCTGTGATCCCAGCTCTGCGACTGCATGCAGCCCCCAGGTCTGAAAGGCAACCAGCTCCCTGCCAGGAACCGGCCGAGCTGCGGGTCCTGCTCGCCCCCCTGACCTGCGGGCGGGCTGGGCCCATTACTGTGCCACCGAGTAAATGCATCTACTGTCTCTTTGGTGTGCGAGTTGAGGCCCAGCCAGAGAGGCGCGACCGGGGTGAGAAGGACTCTTGTTTCCGCGGCCTCCAGCTGCCTGGGGCCCTGCTCCGCGGCCTCCCCTGCCGCTGGCGCACCGCGGCCTGGGACTCCCGGGCCTTTGGCCTCCCGAGGCTCAGGCTCCGACAGCTTGCAGCGGTGGCGCGTCGTCGCCCTCCGACCCGCCAGGTGGGGAGGGCCCTGGGGGGGGGCAAGAGAAGGAGGCCGCGTCCCCTGCGCGGGCTGGCGGGGTCCAGGGCCTCACCCTGGAAACGCGCCCCAGCCCCGCGCCCCAGCCCCGAGCCCCGGACCCAGCGCGCTGGGCGGGAAGGGGCGGGCCCGCCTGTCAATCACACTGCCCTGCCCCAGGCTGGCCAATCAGAAGACACCCCTCCCCACTGCCCTGCGGCCCTCCGGGAGTACGGGGGTCCCCTGGGAGAGTCGGCCTAGTGGGGGACATGGCCGGGTTCCTGGGGACGCTCGGAGACCCCGGCCTCTGCCCCGAAGGCGCTCCGCGGAGAGGAGGCAGAGAGGGACGGCCCGCAGGTGCGCCCCGGGCGGGGCTGGAGGGAGCCTTGGCTCCAGAGGCCACGGTTCCGGCCACCGCGCTGGGCCCCGTTCCTGCCGGCCTGTCCACCGTGAGCCCGGGGGATGGGGCTGGCCACAGGATCCTGAGGCCCAGAGCAGGTCCCAGCAGCACGTCGCTGCACCCCTCTCCCCTGAAAAGTGTGGCGAGCACCAGCCCTCAGCCCCGCCCACCCCCACCCCCGCCGCGGGCCGGGAGAGGCCAAGGGACTGGCCGCTGGACCCTGAAGAGCAGCAGGGCTGTGGCCAGCCAGCGCCCAGAGGAGAGGACCCCGGCTCGCCCGAGTCTCTGTGGTGGAGTGATTAAACAAACCTCAGCCTCAGAGGGTCAGCTGGCCCCAGACGGTGACTCAGAGGGGCTGCTCTTGGGAGGGACCCGAGTGGCAGTGGGGTAGGTGGGACCTTTGCTTTCTGTGTCTGGTGGCTCTCCATCTGGGCTCAATGACCTCATGAAGCCGACTCAGGCCGCCCACCCTTCTCTCACAGAGGGACACTCAGGCCTCACGTGGGTGTTCCCGGCTCTGCAAGGCCAGGGTCAGGGTGGTGGCCTGGGAAGGCCCGGCTCTGTGCTCTTGCTGACCAGCTCATCGCCCCTGGGGAGCCAGCCCCACCTCCAGGACTGGCCACTCTAAGCAGCAGCCAGCACTCTGTGGGAAGGGACAGTGGCCCTGCTGCAGGAAAAGGACCTTGTAAAGACACTTTTTCAGCCAGGGCTTTGCAAACTGGGGAGCACTGTGTGGTCACCTGTGTCCAGTCACTAAGGGCTGAGACCAACATGTGCAAGGCCCCGGGGCATAGCCACGTCCGGGGCAGAGGTGGGTGTCCTCTGCTGTCCCCTGCCAGAGCCTCTCCTCACACTTCCTGTCTGGATCAGAGCCCTAGTCTGAAGCCTGAGGCTGCTGAGCAGATGACCCCTGTAGGCCCGAGGCAGTGCTCCTCCACCCCCTCCCTCCCTCAGGGCCGTGGACCAGCTCCGAGTGCCTGAGGGTGACCCGAAACTCCCTGTAGCCATGACAGTGGGCCCAGCTCTTGGGAACCCAGGCTGGCCACCACAGCACACTCCCGGTCAGTCCGTGTAGTGCCATACACTCCATTCATCATAATTATTTTAATTAAGAAGATAAGAAACAGCTCATCAAAGATTTAATTATAATGAGCAGCTAACAACACTTGGATGAGTCACATGACCCGAGTGGCTGCTGGTTCTCACCTCCCTGTCAGGCACCGAAGACAGCGCAGGAGGCACCCAGAAGGTAGGGTCCCGGCCTCCCAACACCGTGAGGGGCCCCGCCAGCCCTGACTGTCCCCAGTTGGGAGGACCGTCCTGGTGTGGCCACTGGCCTGAGCTCAGGAGGGTGCACATCCCATGGTGTCCTCGATCTCCGTGGAGGACATTCGCTTTGTGCCCCGCCCTGGCCACACCCACCACAGGGCACGCTCTCCAGGCCAGCTCCTGGTTCACTGCTGGGACCCGAGGAAGGAGCACATGGAGGGCCCGGGAGCTCTCTCGGCTGGGCCTGGGGCTGGGAGCTGGGTACAGGGAAGACTTCCTGGAAGGGCCTGGGCCTGGCTTGAGAGTGGGTGGCAGCCTGCAGGCCACCTGGGGACACTGGCCTAGAACCCACAGAAACAGGGGCAGTGGGAGCAGCTTGAGATGGGCACCAGTAGTGTGTGCTGGGCCCACTGCCCGGGCTCCGTGTACCCTGGTAGTGCGATGTCACCTTCAGAGGCCCCTGTCTCCTTTGGGGATGCTGACCCTGCCCTCACAGAATGGAAGGAGGCTGCCACGGCCTGCCTGATCTAGGCTGGACATGGAGTGGGCAGAAGGGCACCAGAGCCCCAGCGCAGGCCGGAGGTGCTGGGGTCAGGGCTCACCTCTTTCCAGACAGCCTGGGTCACAGCCGGGAGCTCTGAGCACCCAGGGGACATGAGGCCCTGTCCCTGCTCTCCTGCTCTTGCTGGTCACTGGCAGAGGCGCCGTGCTGAGCCGGCCTGGCCCTGATGTGGAGTGCTGCTGGCCCCGGGCCCTGAGGAGGTCCTTTTCCTCTTCCGGCAGCACTGCCCGGCCTCTGCCTGTCTTCCCTGGCCCCCAGCCCCTCACGCCTCCTGGTCTTGAAGCATCTCTCCTTCCTCTTGTGACCCTAGTCATTGGATTGGGGTCCACCTTCAGTCCAGGGTGATCATATCTTGGTATCGGAGTCACCTCTGCAGACACCAAATAAGGTCACATTTACAAGTGTCAGGGTTTGGATGTGGACACAGCATTGGGGACAGATACTGAAACCGTGTGGCTGGTGGCAAGTCACTGACCCTCTCTGAGCCTCTGCTTACACACATTGAGTAGGAGCCTCCCTCTGAGGGAAGCCAAGGACCAGTGGGTCCATATTCCATGGCCTGTCCATAGCAGGTTCTCAGGGCCTTCCGAGAATTAGGACCAGAGGATGGGAACAGACACTGTCTCAGGGACTTGGTAGTCCTCCCCCGTGGCTACCGGGGGCAGTACTGAGCTCATCTGTCCCTGGGTCAGACACGGGCCTCCACCTCCCTCGGGGAGGCAGGGACATCACTTCCCGGGTCCTTCCAGGCCTCCAGCCAGGAGGCCCTCTAGGTATTGCACACCCGTTCAAGCTGAAAGAAATTGCAAACCAAATTAGCCAAAGATTTAATAGAAATTGATTTTGACTTAAAGCCCTTCGAGTGCTCACTCTGCAGATGGCCACTCCGCTGACCGCCCCACTGTGTCTGATCTGATCTGGGACCTTGCAGGGCTCCTCCTGATGAGGCAGCTTTTCTTATTGTCTCCCGGTGACCACTGAGCTCCACCTCCAGGCTGCACGGGAATCGGTGTCCTCTCTCCTTCCAACCTGGCGTCTCTGCACACGAGAAGAAACATTCCCCTGAACTGGTAGGAGAAGCGCGGACTCCTCCACCCTGAGCCCTCACAGCCGGTGCTAAAGCAGGAGCATGAGACAGTTCCCATCTGGGAAGGGTGAAACTTGCATGTCCCCTGCTCAGGCCCTTCTGTCGGGGGATTGTGCCACCCCTGATTTGGGAGGTGGGCATAATCTCAAGGGCACTGGCTAGGAGAGTCTTGGCGCAGGACCTGAGTCACGTGGTCTGGAAGGTCAGATTTGACCGGGAGGGGGGCTTGGCATCAGAAATGTGTTTGCGGACCACCCAGTGGTGAGCGTGCGTGCGCTGCACATCTGAGAACTCAGGTCACCAACTCTTTGGCCCTTAGCCCCAAATCCCACCCACCGGCCAGGTGAGTCCAGGGACACCTTGCTGCTGAGGCTCAGCCCTAAGCGGCAGGTGCCTGTCTGGTGCCCTGCGTCCCCGCCCAGTGCCACACAGAGCAGTTGACAGCATCAGCCGAGGCGGAGCCCCAGGCCCTTACCTACACGCAGGCCCTGGCCTCGGGAGGAGCACTGACCTCGTTGGTCCATGGTCCTCAGCTCTGCAGAGACCAAAGCCGTCACAGCCAACTGCCTGCCCCGGGGCCGGCACAGCCTCCTGAAACTCTCCACCCCAGCTGCAGGGGCCTCCAAAGCCCACCCTGGGCGGCGCTCAAGGGTCCCGTCCCCACCTCCCCTCAGTCACAGCCTCGGGCAGTCAGGCAGGAGCCTCTTCCCCCAGGATGCGGCTGCACCGGCCCCGCCCCCGCCCCCACTCTGGCCCATTCCCTGCCCTCCTGGGTCCTCCGCCCAGGGGTCTCCTCAGAGCTGCCCCCTGCCCCAGCCCTGCACCCCGACAGCTGGCTCCACCCTGACCGTCTCCCCCAGCTGGCTCTCTGACCACGGCTGCAGGGCTCTGCTGGCCAAGCAACTCTGTGTCCTGGGTGCTCACGGCCCCTGCCTGTTAGAAACCCCTTCTCTGTTCCCACTCTGGGACCTGGGATCTGGGAGGTTGGCTGTTGGAAGTGATCATGAAGCACATGTTCCATTTGATCCAAGAGTTGGAGCTGACATCTTGCTGCGGGAGCCTAGAAGCATCAGGTGTGAAGGACGTGCAGCCCTCTCCTGGCCCAGAATCATGCTGGTGACCCACTACGAGGAGATGCAAGGTATTGTCTTCATAAAGCTCAAACTGGAGCCCAGAGAGGGGATGTCACTTGCCCAAAGACACACAGCAGCTTGGCTGAGCTGGGATTTGGTCCATGGTCCTGATTCTCCAGCCCCAAGCTGTCCTGCACCCCAGCCTGGTCATTTCTCACCCTCACAGTGTACAGATGAGCAAGACAGGAGCAGTTCTCATTGCTGAATTTCAAATAAAATAAAAAGAAAAGTGCTTTTGAGGACACTCAAGCCCTTCAGACGGTGACTCCGCCGCTGGCCGTGACAGAGCCTGACTCCTGCCCAGGAAGGTGCCGCGCATCCCTGGGACCACACAGGTTCCTTCTGATCCTATTTCTGGAAGCTGAAAGCTGGAGAGATGGATGTGGCTCTTTGAAGCTTGACGGGGCTCGGGGAGGCGGGTCCTGGCCGCCGCAGCATTTCTCTGAGAGAAGAAAGAGGCCGGTGCCCGGAGACCCCGCGCTCCCACGAGGGCTTCTGTGTTTAGAGACGCTTTTCCTCCAGGGGATGCTCACTGGCCGCCCAGAGAGGCCACAGGTAGCAGTAAGCATGGCTCTGCCCACCCCTCATCCACCCTCTTTCTTAGGTATCGATCGACTCCCTGTTTCCTCCCAAAGGACCCCTCCCAAGCCAGCCACCCCGACTGTGACCCAAGCCAGCTAATCTGCGTCCGGGGGGAGACAGAAGTTTATAGGAAGCCAAGAGTAGTAGCTCTGTGCCTGGAGTGTCCATGACCACCTATGTCCCCCTGGAGTGGAAGCCAAATAAAACTACACAGGAAAGCAGAGGAGAGAGAGAGAGAGACTCGCGTGACCTTTGAGATTGTACAGTCTAAACCTCCTGGATCCAGCTGTGCCTGAAGCTCATCATCTGCCCCTTACATTTTCCAATTCTATGGAGCAATCAACTGTCCTATTTCAAGTTTTGAGAGAGACATCTGCCATTTGCACAGGAAAAATCTCTGACCACTAAGTTAGAAGCCACCCTCGGGACTGGTCTGGCTGGCCAGCTGCCTCCTGGAGGCACAAGTGCCAGACAGGACGCCACCACTCTGGGGGGAAGAGCCATCTTGCTGGGGGTGGGGGGCTCTCACCAGGCCCTGCAGCCTCTTCAGCTGAGGTCACGGCTCAGAGACCACAAAAGGCAGGGCCACCTCCAGGCAGGAAAACCCACCCTGCTACAGCACCCTCCACAGGGGCCACCCCCACGCGTCCAGCCTGCCGCCAGCCCCTGAATGATGTTGTGAAGCACAAAGTTTAAGTCAGGGTCTGGCTGCACGGGCCTGCAGCAGGGCCAGCTCCTCTGGCCACACTCATCAGGAGGTTCTCTGGGCCTCCGGGCGCGTGTTGGAGGAGCTGCGAGGCAGGGTCGGGCTGCGGGTGGCCAACTCTTGGCAGGCACTCTGGTGCCGCACAGGCCCCCAGCGCACCTCCTGCTGCCACCTCCACTCCCGCCTCGGGCACTGGCTGGTCAGCGGGCCACGGGCAAGGCGTCCCTGTCCCTTGCCACACACCTCTCCAGCTCACGCCTCCATACTCACGGACCACCACAAAGGCCAGTCGGCCACGCAGCGCTTGGTCTGAGGAGCCTAAGAACAGGTGGGGCACCCGCAAGGACACCCCAGGGCTGGCGCAGAGGTACGGCCAGCCGCCGTGAGCGCCCAGGGCCTACCTGGCCTCTCGCTCCCTCCCTCACCTCCCCGTGAATCTATTTTAAAAGATCATAGTTTTCTTTACATCCACCTCGGAGCTGTGCCAGGGAGAAGGGGGGCACACACATGTCGGACTGGCCGCGGGGAAAGCCGCCGGGTAGCGCAGCCCAGCTGGGGGCTCCCGCAGACCCCCGTCCAGCCCCCCGCCCTGCCAGGTGGAGGCAGAGGCCATGCTGCACCCCCTTGGGGACCTGGGGGCCCTCACCTGGCTCCACACTGGTGTCCCAGGGCTTGAGGCAGGGCCTGGGGATCTGGGGGGACCCAGCATGTGAGCGGCCACCTGTATTGGGCCCGTGCTTCCCCAAAGCCCACCTGGGCAGGCGGCTGAGCACAGCCCTGGCTTCCACCGTGTCTGGGCCCCGGTCGGTACGCCCTTGACCCCGCTGCCCTCCTGGGTCAGGAGGACCAGTTCTGCTGTCCCCCAGGCCTGACTCTCGCGGGGCTGCCATGGCACACTGCGGTCAGAGCGCTTGGCCTCTCTCTGGGCCTCCAGGCAGGGCCTGGGCTCTCTGGAGACTCATCCCCTGGACCATTCACCTCCGCTTCCAAGACGGCCCCCTGCCCAGGGAAGCGGTCCTGAGGCCCTCTGCCCCTCCTGCAGTGTTGGGCATGTGGACTCTGCCTTCAGGTGTCCAGAGGGAGTTCCTCACTGAGGGCGTGAGATTCTAGGAGTGGACAGACCTAGGCCAAGTGGCCAGCATGTCCCAGGTTGGCCCCGGAGACGGCAGCACACTCCCTGCTTTGGGTGCCGTGGCCCACCACCTGCGTGGTCTGGGACCCTGGGTGCCCTCGGAAGCCTGGTGGGTGACCAGGCCTGGCAAGAGCAGGGAGTGCTCCAAGGGGGTGCTCGGGCTCTGGAGCTGGGCCTTCGCCAGCAGCCTCAGGATCCAGCCCTGGCTGTGGCCACACCCGGGACTCCAGGGAGGACGGTCATGCAGGGCCAGCGGGTCCTTCTGCCTCCCCTGGGGGGAGCCCAGCTAGGGGGGTAGGGGCCCAGCTGGGCTGGTAACCAACACCTGCATGTCCACTCAAGGCCGCGGGCAGGCAGCAGGCTGGCCTGCCCCACCCGGCCCCTTCTGGGTCTATTTTTGCTCTCTGACAACACAACAGAGGTAGCCGCTGGGACTTATCTCTAGGACAGAGGCAGCTTTGTGCCCCGGCCCCTGGGCCTCCTCTCGTGACAAGAGCCCGTGGGGGAGGGGCTCCCTGACCAGACACCTCCCCAGGCTCTGAGGCCCTGCTCCGGGGAGGCCCCCAGCCAGCCAGTCCCCTGGCCAGGGCCAGGCGTTCCAAGATGTCTCCGCAAGCCCGAGGGGGTCTCCTTCAGCCTCAATGCCCCTCTGCCTCCCAGGCTCTGAGGCCCGCGCTGCCCGGCCACCAGCTCCCCGTCCAGGGAAGTCCCACGTCTCCTCCCCAGGGCCTGAGGTGAAGAGGTTGGGCAGATGATCTTAGCACAGACCGAGAGCCAGCTGGGAGGACGGCAGAACTGGGGGCTCCTGCGACAGGCCGCGGGGTTCCTGCTGGCTGGGCCGTCCTGCCCCTGCATCTCTGCAACCAGGACTGCTGGACACCTCGAGGAGCCCAGCAGAAGATGGCCAGCTGCACCCCTGTGTCACCATCACGCTCCCCAGTGGCTGGCAGGAGTGAGCACAGTCGCCAGGCCAGGGGTCACCATGGGTCAGCTCTGCAGCCCAGGATGAGCCTGCTGGGTGCTGATCTCAGGCATCAGTGCCACTTCCCTGCCTTAAGGTGGTCAGGCTGGCCTTGAGCCACACCCACACAGTGCAGCCTGGAGGTATGTTCCTCGAGGGGAGGGCCACCAGGGCTTCTCTGTCCTCAGAGCACCTCCTGACTGGGGCCACCTCCAGACCCTCCTCCTGTAGTCCTTCAGTCAAGGTGTGACTGTTGGTGGTCCACCTAGTAATGGGCACATCTCACCAAGGACCCAGTCAAGACTTCCTCCTACAGCCAGGCATGGGGGTGCATGCCTGTGAGCCCAGAGACCCGAGAGGCTGAGGCAGGAGGATCTCAGGTTGGAGGCCAGCCTCAGTAGTTTAGTGAGACTTTGTCTCAAAGCAAAAACTAAAATGGGCTGGAGATGTAGCCCAATGGTTAGGCACCCTGGATCCAATCCCCGGAACCAAAATAAAAAGCCCAGTCAAGACAAATGAAAAGACTGGGTCTTGCCGATGACGGAGGGCCAGGTGGTCTGGGTGCCCTCTTCACCACCTGGACCATGAATGTGAGAGGCGGGGAGGAGCCCCGGGGACTTCGTGGGGACGCAGCCACCTGTCTGGTCACCAAATCTGCCTTGAGATGAGAGCCACAGCTCCGCAAGCCCAAACCGGGAGCAGGCGCACAGCCGCAGCGGACCCTGGCTCTGAGGTCTGCTCGCTGGGCCAGGACGGGCATGAAGCCCGCCCTCGAGGGTCCCTGCATGACCTACCCAACGGCAAGACACCAGGGACGTGCAGATGGCCTCATTCCACGACTCTGGAAGTCAGCCTTACGCAGGGTGGACGCACGCCGGAGTCCGAGGAGCCCCGTGCCGCCCCCCCCCCCCAGGAAGGCGCCACCGTCACGGCCACCCCATCCAGGCTCCGGAAAGCCCTCTGCAGCAGCTGCGGTCAGTGCCCACCCACAAGCCCCTGCTTCCTCACCACGGGTCAGCTCTGCTCCTCCTGGGCTCTGTGAGAAGTCACTGGACAGGGCAGAGCCCGCCTCCTCCCTACCTGATGCTGCCTCGGGGCTTCCAAGGTGCGCCCTCCCTGCCAGCTGCCCTCTGTGGGGGCCATCTCTGCCCAGCCAGTGCCCCTGGGAGGGGGTCCCAGCCGCCCTCTAGTTGACCTGTCCTCAGCAAAGCTGCTCTAAGTGCTCTCTCAAAGGACTGTGCTTGGCCTCTCGTGGGCGTGCCTCTTGGGGGAGAGCTGCTGCCGGGGCAGGAGAAGGCTGGCCTTGGTCTCCAGAGGACATGCGGGCCTTCCCGGTCCCACCAGCTGCCAGCTGCTCCGCATCCCCTGCCCCAGGGAGGGGAGCGTCTGTGAACCCAGCTGTCTGGGGGAGGGGACGCCCCGCCCTGTGCTTTCAGCTGCCGGTCCCCGGCCTGCTGACACCGGCAGTTCCTCCCTTCTGTGTCCTCCTTCATGGATTTATTTTTTGGTTCCAGGGATTTAACCCAGGGCTGCTTCACCACGGACCCACATCCCAGCCCATTTCGAGACAGGGTCCTGCTAAGTTGCTCAGGGCCTCACCCAGCTGAGGCTGTCCTTGGACTTGCAATCCTCCTGACTCAGCCTCCCAAGCTGTTGAGATTACAGGCGTGGGACGCTGCGCCCAACACTGACCATTTTAACGAAGGCAAGTCTGTCCCTTCCTCCTCTCCTCTGTCACTGCTTTGGTGTTGGCACGAGAACACGGTCCCCGGCATTTTATTTTGCAGGCAGCCACAGGAAGTGGCCGCTGAGGGCAGTGCTGGCCCCGGTGAGTGGGAGAAAGGGCCGCAGTCCCCCACCTGTTCCCCTGCTCTCCCGGCCCCACTGCCCGAGGCGGCCCCAGATGGAGGCCTGGGGCCACCCACTGGCGGGCACTGCAGTGAGGGTGTGTGGGCCCCTCCCCGGGAGGACAGTGCCCAAGCGTGGCTCCTGGCAGGGCTCACTCTGCACGCTGATCCGCAAGGGGCCAGGCCATGCTGGGCCCCCTGGACCATGGGCCTCCTCCACCTCTCCGTCTCCAGCTGTGGCTCTCTGGGCTCCTGCACTGTTGGGATTGAGTCAACTCCTACAAAGTGACTCGGGGGTTTCTTTGAGGTTCCAAGCAACCATCTGGACCTGGCACCCGTGACTGGGTGACCTCCCGCTTTCCATCTGTCCGTCACTCTCAGCTGCGTGTCCTAGGTCTGAGCACAGGTAATAACACACTTAGATCCATTCCTAAGTATTCTATATGTTGACACCTGTCGAGAGCCACAGCCGAAGGGCCCCAGCAAACTTCCAGCTGATTGGCTCATTGCAGCCCCAGCAAACTTCCAGCTGCCAGCTGATTGGCTCCTCTGCGGTGATGCTCATTGGGCTATTTCCCTGCTCTTTCAGACCACGGAGCTGCTCATTGGGGGATTCTTTTGGCTCCGCCCACACGACCCAGCCAATCGGCCTCAAGAGCAGGAGGAGTGGGGGTTGAGAGGCTGGTGGGAAGCCAGTGGTGGCAGTTGGGCTCTGAGGGACTTCCTGAAGAGCTCCTGTGGTGCGGGGTGTGTGTGTTCTAAAAATAAAGTTCGTTTCTGCTTGACAAGTGGCTCATGAATTGTGCCCAGCCAGACTGCCGCAGACACCACTGCAATAAGTTCTAAATTTTGCTTGTCCCATCTTGGCCACTAGCACGTGGAGACACCCTGACTGTTGACACTGACCTGTGTCCGGTGACCTTCTGAGATGGGATTCTCATGTCTGGAAGAGTTCTGCAGAATGAGTTTTGGGGTTCTCCATGGGAAGGTCCTAGGTCCTCTCCTCCAGCACGTGTGGCTTCTGTGTCTGTGTGCCCTGTGACACTCGCTGGGCCCTGCAGGGCGAGGTGAGATGCAGAGGCAAGGACAGGCCTCCTTCCCTCCTGACAGTGGGCTGCACAGCCCTCAACCTGGCACTGAGTGAGCTGTGGGTTCCCACGAAGGCCCCTCACTGCTTTTCCAGTTTGGGCAGTCCCCTGTTGCTGGTCTGTGAGAGTTTTCCTGTTTAGCTGAACAAGCGTCAGGTGCCCTCAGCTGTAGGCCCTCTCTCCCCCTTCCTCATGCCAATGTGAAGACTTGAATCGATGGGTTCTTGAATATTGAACTAACCTTGCATTCCTGGGGTGAATCTCCCCCAACCCTGGCACGTTATTCTTCTTATGTATTCCTGGACTACGTTTTTAAATTTTTTCTTAAATATTTGTTTTGTTTTTTTCAAAGCTAACCTAATTTATTTTATTTTATTTTTTTACAGTCTAGGGATTGAACCCAGGGAGCTGTACCTCTGAGCCACGTCCCCAGCCCTTTTTATTTCACTAAGTTGCTGAAACTGGCCTCAAACCTGTGACCCCCTCAGCCTGTGAGTCGCTGGGACTGCAGGTGGGCGACGTTGGGAGGCCTTTCACATCTGTGTTCATGAGGATGTCTGTCTGTCTGTCTTTGTCAGGTTTAGTATTAGGAGTGTCCTGGCCTCAAAATAAGTTTACATGCTTTTTTTCCCCTCCTCTGTTTTCTGAGAACTCAGTGAGGCTGATGTTATTTTTTTCTTTAATGTTTTATAGAACTCAACCCTGAGGCCTGGAGTCCCCTGGTGGGCGTCCCCTGGTGGGCGTCCCTTGCTCAGCGCAGCCGTGGGGTCCTCTTTCCGACCTCGTGAGCCCCTGTGCTGGCCACGCCCGAGGCCCCTGCCCGTGTGTCCTCGGCAGTGTGTTGTGCCCGGGGCTGGCTCTCCTCGTCTGCACCCGTTTGGGTTCATCCATCTTGGTTCTTCGTTCCCTGCTTACGTGCGGACGGGCCTTTCTCCTGGAATCTGGCTGGACTCTCTCTGCTCCTCTGTGGCCATGAGTGTCAGGACCTGACCAGGCCCTGCTCCGGGAGGCGCTGTGTTTGTGCATTTTTTTCTCTCCTCCAACTTGAGTCATTTTGAAAACCCACCTTCCAGTTTGCCAGCGCTGTCTCCCGCCCTTTTGGTCAGCCCTGCAGGGAAGGCGTCACTTGAGATCTTTGTGGCTCTGTGTTAAATATCTGCCTTTCCGAAGGCCACGTCCATCTGCTGGGGGTGCTCCCAAGCCTTCCCCTCACGCTCAGCTTCCCTGAGTTATCTGAACGGAGTTGGGCGTCCCTGGCTACCCACACACCCTGGGCGTCAGGAAGGGCACTGAGCCTCGGCGCTGGACACGGCCACTGGCCTTGCTTCTTCCTGAACCCCTCCTCCTTCACACTGGACTCGCTGTCCACCCCTGAATGTTGCTGCTTTTTCCTGACAAGCGATCACCTTTCTAATAATCCTCTTGAGCTGTGGGTACTTCATTCGACCCTCTTGAGAGGCATCATTTGGACTTTCCCTTTAGAAGCAGAGACCCTCCCCTGGGGACCCTCTGGCTCCGAGCTCCGCCCTGTGGTGTGGGTGGAAGCCCTGCGCCCGCAGGCGGGGCCAACTCTGGCTCTGCTGTCCTGGGCAGCTCATTTCTAGCCTTCTAGGAGCTGGCCACCACCCCAAATGCTTCCCGTCCCCAATGCAGGGGCAGGTGCCTTAGACCAACAGAAAAGAAAGAGGCCCAGAGAAGGAAGAGCCTCCTGCCAGGAGCCTGTGTTGGAACATGAACACTCGCCCGCATCCTACAGATGCAGCCTCTGGAGAGAGCGAGTGCCAAGAGCAGGGCGTGCAGCCCCGGAGCTGGGATGTCAACTCAGCGGACAGCCCCAACCCCCTGGGCAAGCAGTGACAGCTATGAGGTAGACTACAGCCCCAATGCCAAGGAACAGAGAGGGCAGTGACTCCCTCCACGCTGCACAGCCCCCTCGGCAGCTGGACCCCGGGCACATGAGTATCACTCATTCCACGGCTGATAGCCAAAGAGATGGCGAGAGGGAGACAGCAGGGCCCAGGCTGGGGAAGCAGAGGTGCACAGAGACCTCTGTGCCAACACCTTCCCTGCACAGGTGGGGAAACTGAGGCCCAGCCGGAGGGGCCCTCCTCACCCAAGCTGCGAGATGAGTTGCCAGGGGATCAACAGCCTGGTTGCCCCTCCCTCTGAATTCTGCCACAGCCCCTTGGCTCTCCCTGGAACTGCAGGAAGGCCCTGGTGGGCGCAGATGCCTGGCTCCACACGACCGCCCCGCCCTGGTCTACTGCCCCATGGACACAAAGCCCCCTTGGCTGCAGCCTTCTCTCCTCTCCCTGTGACATTCAGAAACCCGGGACTTTCCAGAACTCTGAAAAGGCTCCCCAGGACCAGCTCCAGGGGTGGGTTCCAAATACCACAATGTCATTTCGTCTGAAAGGCAGCTCTGGGAGCAAAGCAAGACTCTGGCAGTACGCACACCGGCAGACCCTCCCACCCAGAGCCAGAGGAGGAGGGACGAGTGGATGTGAGAAGGGGCTGAGTCTGGGGCAGACGCTGCAAGACCAGGTGTTCTGAGGGTGGTGACAGGAAGAGGAGCCTGGCATCGTCCCTCCCAGGCAGGAGCCGATCCAACCACGCACATAGCAGCTCTGCAGAAACTGAGCAGCTTGGAGCCCACGGAGCTGCTGACAGTGAGTCGGTCCCCCCACGGTGCCCAGAGGAGCGTGTCTCGCTGCTGCTGCATGGAGGAGTCTGGCACCCTCTGTTTGAAACAGAATATCGGCATCTCTATGCCTCGGCAAAGTGGCTGCCCGCACGTGTGGGCATTTCGGAGAGCCCCACTCCGAGAGGCGTGTCAACCGCCAGCAGGGCCGCACCCAGCTTCATGGCCCTGAGCTGCCAGCCACACAGATGCCCACGGTTCACCATGTGGCTTGCAGCCTGCAGCCATGGCCTGTTTGTGCGGGAGGCTGTCACAGCAGTGCGAAGCCACCTCCTGAGCTGGGCCCACCGTGAAGATGGTCAGTCGACCCCTCCCTGCCCAACGGAAGCCCACAGCGTGACACATCCCACGCCCATCGACACCGAAAATCTCCAGCAGGCCAGACCCTTCCTTGGTGCTGTGCCTTGGAACGATACCGCCTTAACTAGGGGCACAGGGACTTGCCGGGAGGAAAAAACAACATTCCAAACTTACCAAAAACTTAGAAGTTTATACTAGAACCAGGGAAAGACTATGGAATTCCCCTTTGAATTTGCAGCAACAGCAGCAGCCGGCAGCCGGCAGCCGGGTTTGCGTGCAGAATGCAACATTGTCGCTGACCCGCAAGAATACTTTGTCCTTGGCTTTTGACTAAAAGAAGCAGGCAGCGCCGTGGGCGCTTAGCAGAGGGATCATTCCCGCAGTCCCTCCCAGGGCTCAGGCAGAGGGTGTCGAGGGGCAGAGGGAGAAAAGAAAGAGTATGAATGACACTCTGAAGTATCGGGACCCCAGGAAGGAAGACTCACCAGAGCAAGCACCCGGCTTCCGGCCCGAATCTGGGGGACGTGGGCACTGTCCCTCAGCACTGGTGGGCACCAGCTGCAGCCCTGCCCTCTGCGTGGCCTGTTTCCCTGGCTGGCCGGCTGGCAAGGCCATGATGAGAACCTCGGTGACCCGCACAGAGCCCCCAGAGGCCCATGGAGGCTGCTGTAGACCACGAAACACCACATTGTTTTAGGCAGCTGCAACGTCCCCAGCGCGGGGCACTGTCCCGGAAGGTGGGTATGGGGGTGCCAGGAGCCCCCAGAGGAGAACCATGGGGAGGAGCCCTCCCCTCCCAGGCGCTCAGCAGGCACCAGGCTCGGCCAGGCGGACCCCACACAGCCCCCAGCACTGGGCCAGCTCAGCAGCCTGAGGGCGGTGGTGCTCAGCCTGGCCCCCTTGGGACCACCCAGGGAGTTTGGAAAAATCTGCTGGCCCCAGCCTGTGGGCCTGGCCAGTCCAGGTCTGGGGAGCAGCCTGTGTGTGCAGAGGGAGCCTCTGCCTGGGCCCTGGGGAGCAGCCTGTGTGTGCAGAGGGAGCCTCTGCCTGGGCCCTTCTGCAGTGGGTTGTGGATGCCCCGCAGCAGCAGACTGAGGACGCTGGAGTGGCCACACGGGAGAGAAGACACCCCGAAGCTGTTGGCCACCCAACCCCACATGACATGTCATCCAGCACCTCGTCCCTGAGTCTGCAGACCCACCTGCCACCCCCGCCCCGCTGCGTTGCCTCCCTGTGGACACTCTGTCCTGAGCCTGCCTGGCCACCCCACCTGGCTGCACACCCACCTGGGCAGGGAGGCGGCCCAGCCCCTTCTTCTGCCGCTCACAGTCTCCGGGTCTGGGTGGGCTACGGCATCCAAGGGACACCAGGAAGCTGCTGAGCTCTGGAGGGGCCAGCCTGCAGCTGCCAACCAGCAGGCCCAGCTGACCCTGGGACCTGAGGACCCAGGGGTCCTTTCTGGCTGACTAGGTGTTGGGACGGGCAGATGAAAATGGGGGACCGGGTCGCCAGCCAGGCGTCTCTGCTGACCCCTCCTCAGGTGCCCAGCGGGTGCCGCACGCAGCAGAGTGTCTGGCCATGACCACGGGGACAGAGGACAAAGGAAGGGGAAGCGGTGTCCAGGAGCACCTGGCTGGCCGGGGTTTGGCAGGTTGCAGCCGAACCCAGAGGCTCCCATGGGCACTGGGTCTCCTGGCACAGAGGGGACCACCATTCAGGGTCAGCTGGCAGCCTTGGGGGGTGCCTGCCGCATGCCCGACCCCGGAGGGCGAAGGGTGCTGACTGGCACTCAGCTCGTGCATCCTAATGACTTCTAGAGGCTGAAAAACATCCCCAGACAAGTGACGCCGTGGCGAGGAGGTGTCTGTGACAGATTAAGCACAAAGGATCAGCAGCACCCAGGATGTGCCAACTCCCAGAAGGAAAGAAGGCAGGGATGGGAGCGGCCGCCGGTACCCAGCAGCCACCAGGGAGACGTGCCACCCGCCAGGCCAGGAGGGCACCAACCAGCCCGCTGGCAGCGGCTCCCCAACCACAGATGCAGAAACTCCAGCCTGAGTGTCCCGTGGCAGGTGCCCTGGCCACTCATGGGTCCTGTGGGAGAGCGGGGGGCTGGGAGAGGGGGCTGGACACCACCGTAAGCCCTCGGGGCCTCCTGTAGGAGCCTGTGGTCCCCCGTGCAGCGGGCACAGGCTCAGAGCCAGCAGCGGACCCCAAACTCCCAGGGCCATGACCCGACAGGGCTGTCGAGGACGAGCAGTCACCAGGCCCCAGGACTGTGGACGTGCACACACACGAGGGTAAGTCCTGTCGCCCGGCCTGTGCGGGGAACCCTGGGGCGACAGGAGTCAGACCTAACCTGGTGCACCCAGGAGCCTACAGAGAGGGCAAATCAGTGTGCGGAACCAAGGTCACACCACTGAGCCTCCTCAGCCCCTCAGGGACGCACCGGCCTGGCGCTGGCCAGCCAGGTTCCTCTGGAGGAGAGCAGAGGGCTGCTCCCAGGTGCAAGGCACCTGCACGTGGCTCCTGCCGGATGTCCTGGAGTCAGCAGCACTGGGCACCAGCTCTGCCCTGGCCCACAGGTGGCCTCCACTCCCTCTGGCTCAAGGGCCAGCCCTATCCGCTCCTGTCCCTCCCTCCTCCTTCTCCCTGGCTCTCCCCCTCCACCTCCCTCCATTTGTCTTCTGTCTCCCCTCCCCTCCCCTCTTCCCTTCCCCTCTCTTTCTCCCTTCCCTCCCCTCCTCCCCTCCCCTCCTCCCTTCTCCTCCTCCCCTTCCTTCCCCCTTCCTTTCTCCTCTCCTCCTCTCCTGCTCTCTCTCCATCCCCTCCTCTCGCTCTCTCCCTCTCCTCCTCTCCTGCTCTCTCCCTCTCTCCTCCTCTCCTCCTCTCTCTCCCTCTCTCCTCCTCTCCTGCTCTCCCTCCCTCTCTCCTCCTCTCCTGCTCTCCCTCCCTCTCTCCTCCTCTCCTGCTCTCTCCCTCTCTCCTCCTCTCCTGCTCTCCCTCCCTCTCTCTCCTCCTCTCCTGCTCTCTCTCCCTCTCTCCTCCTCTCCTGCTCTCTATCCCTCTCCTCCTTTCCTGCTCTCCCTCCCTCTCTCCTCCTCTCCTCCTCTCTCCCTCCCCCCCTCTCCTCCTCTCTCCCTCTCTCCTCCTCTCCTCCTCTCTCCCTCTCCTCCTCTCCTGCTCTCTCCCTCTCCTCCTCTCCTGCTCTCCCTCCCTCTCTCCTCCTCTCCTGCTCTCTCCCTCTCCTCCTCTCCTGCTCTCCCTCCCTCTCCTCCTCTCCTGCTCTCTCTCCCTCTCTCTCCTCCTCTCCTGCTCTCCCTCCCTCTCCTCCTCTCCTGCTCTCTCTCCCTCTCTCTCCTCCTCTCCTGCTCTCCCTCCCTCTCTCCTCCTCTCCTGCTCTCTCTCCCTCTCCTCCTCTCCTGCTCTCCCTCCCTCTCTCCTCCTCTCCTGCTCTCCCTCCCTCTCTCCTCCTCTCCTGCTCTCTCCCTCCCTCTCCTCCTCTCCTGCTCTCCTCCTCTCCTCCTCTCCTGCTCTCCCTCCCTCTCTCCTCCTCTCCTGCTCTCCCTCCCTCTCCTCCTCTCCTCCTCTCCTGCTCTCCCTCCCTCTCTCCTCCTCTCCTGCTCTCCCTCCCTCTCTCCTCCTCTCCTGCTCTCTCTCCCTCTCCTCCTCTCCTGCTCTCTCTCCCTCTCTCCTCCTCTCCTGCTCTCTCCCTCTCTCCTCCTCTCCTGCTCTCTCCCTCCCTCTCTCCTCCTCTCCTGCTCTCTCTCCCTCTCCTCCTCTCCTGCTCTCTCTCTCTCCCTCTCCTCCTCTCCTGCTCTCTCCCTCTCTCCTCCTCTCCTGCTCTCTCTCCCTCTCCTCCTCTCCTCCTCTCTCCCTCTCTCCTCCTCTCCTGCTCTCTCCCTCTCCTCCTCTCCTGCTCTCTCCCTCTCCTCCTCTCCTGCTCTCCCTCCCTCTCTCCTCCTCTCCTGCTCTCTCTCCCTCTCTCCTCCTCTTCTGCTCTCTCTCCCTCTCTCCTCCTCTCCTGCTCTCTCCCTCTCCTCCTCTCCTGCTCTCTCCCTCTCTCCTCCTCTCCTGCTCTCCCTCCCTCTCTCCTCCTCTCCTGCTCTCTCTCCCTCTCTCTCCTCCTCTCCTGCTCTCCCTCCCTCTCTCCTCCTCTCCTGCTCTCTCCCTCCCTCTCCTCCTCTCCTGCTCTCCCTCCCTCTCCTCCTCTCCTGCTCTCTCTCCCTCCCTCTCTCCTCCTCTCCTGCTCTCTCCCTCTCCTCCTCTCCTGCTCTCTCCCTCCCTCCACTGGGTGGGCCCTTCCGTGAACATCCTTGCTGTCTAAAGTTGACTCCCCTGAGTGGTCTTCTGTCACCACACAGGAGGTGTTGGGTAGCAGGAGGTAGGGACCAGAATGACCCAGCTCCCACCGGTGACACTCTGCCTATTGGTGAGAACTCAAATCTGCTGATTGTGGCCATAAGAAACCAGATGCAGGCGCAAGGCCAGAGGTGGCTTTTGCCAACTGTCCTGCAACAGGTCTGTCCCAGCCAAGGCCTGATATCTCCCTGAGTTCCCAGATGCACCAGCTCCAGAGCTACTTTCTTTCTAGCATTTTCCGCACACATAGTACCTTTTATTGAGGTCTGTTTGTAGCCTCTGCTCTGGGGGTTTCACACCCCGCCCCGTGTACAGAAGGGCAGCAGGGCGGTCGTAGCTGTGATGGTCTGGACGCCTGGCCCCAGCAGACCCAGCCGTCTAGTCGCTGTAGCTGGTATGAGTCCTGGGTGGTCACCTGGTCTGGGTGGGCCACTGCTGCCCAGGCTGGCTGTGGACCTTAGCTCAGGGTGACCAGCCCTGCAGGCAGCATCCTGTGCCAGCTCTCAGCTGGGCACTGCCCTCAGGCTCTGCTGTGGCAAGGACTTCGCCAGATCCCAGAGGATGGGGCAGCCGGGCAGAGCCCCGGGTGGCCTGAGCTTGGTGTCCGGAGCTTAGGAGTAAGCTCTCACTCCGTCCCTGCTGCCTGAGCTTCGGCCTGAGGAGGGGCCGCCTGGGAAGCAGCCTGGACTGGGGAGTGCCATCTCCAGGCTCAGACTCCTGGCCCAGGGCGTCCCACACAGCTGCAGCGGGGCCGGCCTTGGGGCTGATGGCGCCTCCCTCCCCCGTGTCTTGGGACCAGCTTTGGCCTAGCCCAGGGCCCTGGCAGCACACCTGGGGAGCAGTGAGGGTCAGGACTGGGGGGCACACTGTCTCGAGGTTCTGGGTGGAAACTTAAGATGGCAGAAGCTTGGCATGACCACCGACCCTCCAGAATCCTGCTGCCACCTGCCCGGGGTCCTTAGGAAGCTTCTGGAAAGGCCCAGGGAGCTGTGCTGCCCGCCAGGATATGGAGGGGTCAGTACCATTCCCTGGTTCTCATTTTCATAATCGGCAAAACTCAGAAAGCTGTGTGAAAGTCGGTTTCATCCCAAGCATAACAAGAGGGCTCCTGGTCCCGCGAGCACACGCTGGGGACTAGAGGTCAACCCTTTGGGGCCAGGCTCTCCCACAGTTTTCCTGGGGACGGCAGGACCTGTGGTGCATGCTGGAACCAGAGGGGAATGGGGCGTGGTCCACTCCTGCGCTCAGCCAAGCCCAGCTGCCCGGGAGGGGAGGCCGTCCACCATGACACAGACAGGAGGCCTAAGGGCCTCCGCCCTCCTGCACAGCCAGTGCAGGCCAGAAAGGGTCC